AAGTTTCTTGTGAACAAAGGTGTAAAACACGCAGAATACTTCAAGCACAGTACGGTGATGAGACACTCAGCCACAGTAAGCCATTTGCATGGAGTAACCATTTCAAAGATGCAGGTAAAGTGATGGCAAGTGTTTTCTGGGACAAACGTGGCATTATGGACAATTTCATGCTCCCAACTTTGTGGGAACAGTTTGGGGATGGCCCCTTCCTGTTCCAACATGACTGCGCACCAGTGCACAAAGCAAGGTCCATAAGGACATGGATGAATTAATTTGGGGTGGAGGAACTTGACTGACCTCAACCCAATAGAATACCTTTGGGATGAATTAGAGCAGAGACTGGGAGCCAGGCCTTCTCATCCGACATTAGTGCCTGATCTCACAAACGCACTTCTGGAAGAATGGTCACATGGAAGAATTCCCATAGACACACTCCTAAACCTTGTGGACAGCCTTTCCAGAAGAGTTGAAGCTGTTATAGATGAAAAGGGTAGGCCAACTCAATTTTGAACTCTACAGACTAATGCAGGCCATAGACGGCCGATTTTTCAAACGATAAACGAAAAATCGGTCGTTCATTCGGCCCGACGTTACCACCAACGAATAAAAAAATCATCTGACTAAATCATAAAGTTCACCCCATAACTGCTGTCCCTTTCAGGTCACAGCTCATGCGCAGATTTTTTATTGTTAAAACGATCGTCCGATTTGGCCATCATTGCTGGGAAAATCGGCCGATCGTCCAATTCGGCCACAAATTTCCCAACATAACCGATAATCTGAAAGTGCAAAATACACGAAAAACGGACGACGAACTAATCCACTAACGGTACAAAAATCGGCCGATTTTTCTTTTTCGGCCGAAAAATCGGATGATTAACGACCCATCTGTGGCCTGCATAAGACTAGGATGCCATTAAAGTTCATGTTCATGTAAAGGCAGGCGTCCCAATACTTTTGGCAATATAGTGTATATATATTGCTGTCCTACTAACGGTTAGCCGATCGCTAGCTAACAAAACTGACAGAAACAGCATTGTACTTCATTCCAAAACTGAGTTTACTTCTGTGAATAGTTCTGTAAAACTGCAATACAATCACATAAACTGACCTTACAATATGCTTGTAGACATGTCTCTCACAAATACATCCAATGAACACATTTCTTACAAACAGATACCTACAAATCACATTGAATACATTTAAATGAGATCTGGTTATGTATGTGACTTTAACAAATATAATGAAAGAACATACAGGCATAATTGTATCAAAGGGAGAATGGAGATCTTTCAATGGTGTTCTTCTAAAAGCTAAAAAGGCTGCAGTGGTTTATGGAAAATCTTTATTCTTAATGAACATGAGACTCTTTCTGTTCTTTATTTGATAAGGGTGCAATTGCAGTAAATGCCCAATAGATTGCTCCCTACTCAACACAACAATTATATACAGAACATTGTACAGAGCAGTTTTGTACAAGATCCATCCCTTGCATAATTTGAATATTTCAGTAAAAACTAAAGCTAGCATGCACTATGGAAGGCATCGTGCTGTCTACTTTATAAAAGTTTATCCTGCAAAACCAGGACACTCTTTAAAATTGTGAATGGAGATAAAACTACATGTGAAGTCCATGCATTGATATGTTTAAAACTAATGACTACAATAATTAAGATTGTGGGCAAGGCCATTTTAGACATCAAGCATAACTTAATAATGATTCTTTTTTGTACAAGCTCCATCCCTTGAATCATTTAAATATTTCAGAAAAAAATAAAGCTAGCATGCACTATTGAAGGCGTCATGCTGTCTACTTTATATTCACAGCTATTTTTCACTTGTAAAATCCACCAAACAAGAAACAGAAAGGAAAGATAGTTTCATGTTTTCTAAACTACATAGGGTCCCTCAGCATCTTCTGTACCTGCTTTCCTTACAGTTGTTTGGCTGAATTAAAGTGATATATGTATTAAATAACAAACATGTTTTCTGCTTTGTCCAGTGGTTTTGCACAGAGCAGCTTTGATCCTCCTTTTCTCGGATCCCCTGCTGGCGTTCCTGACCCCTCCCTCCTGACTAGTGCCCCCAGAGCAAGCTGCTTGCTATGGAGGAACCCAAGCAGGCTCGCTCCCAAGCTGCTGCTCTGTGTGTCCATTCACACACAGAGCCGCTGCTCAGCCCCACCCCCTCTCTCTCCTTATTGGCTTAATAGCTGTGAATGACAGCAGCGGGATCCAATGGCTGAATTATGATGGGGCTCAGATAAGTATTAGGGGGGTCTACTGCACAAAAGGTTTTTTACCTTCATGCATAGAATGTATGAAGGTAAAAAACCTTGAATCTTTACAACCACTTTAACGAGTTCCCAACCTGCTATGGCCAAAAGACAGCTACAGCATGGTAGGCTAGTTTTGGGAGGGCGTCCATGGACGTCCTCCCAGAACCACGCCCCCCCCATGCACCCAGCCCCCGTCATCAGTGTCCTGGTGATCAGTGTAACCCCATCAGTGTGGCCAATAGTGCCCATCATTGCCCATCTGTGCTGGCAATCAGTGCCGCCCATCAGTGCCACCTATCAATGCCCATCAGTGCCGCCTATCAATGCCCATCAGTGCTGTCTAACAGTGATGCCTATCAGTGTCCATCAGTGCCGCCTAACAGTGCTCATCAGTGCCACCTATCAGTGCCGATCAGTGCCGCTATCAGTGCCCATCAGTGCCTAACAGTGCCGCCTAACAGTGCCCATCAGTGCCGCCTAACAGTGCAGCCTATCAGTATTTACAAAACTTTATAACAGAAACTAAGAAAAAATGTTTTTTTCAAAATGTTTGCTCTTTTTTAGTTTGTTTAGCAAAAAATAAAAACTCCAGTGGTGATCAAATACCACCAAAAGAAATCTATATTTGTCTCCAAAAAATTATAAAAATGTAGTTTGGGTACAGTGTTGCATGACCGCACAATTGTCATTCAAAGTATGAGAGTGCTGAAAATTGGTCTGGGCAATAAGGGGGTAAAAAGGCCTGGTAGGCAAGTGGTTAAAGCCTTACTCCATTTCCACCCTCCTGCCCCCTATTGGAGCACCCCACTTTTCTAAACAAAATAAATAAATAAATAAATCTATATGCAAATATTTTTTTCTTCTGTTTTTAGTATCATCATAAGACACCATGGTTCCTCTCCTTCCTCTAGCAGAAGGTGGGTCATAAATGCTGTATTGAAAGACCTGAGTAATGATGTGGCACTGTTCTCCACCTTGTTCTCCTGTGAATCCATGGTGGCCCAGTGTTCACCCACAGGGCAGGTCCTAGATGCCCTGGGCTCAAACGAGACTTAAAAAGGAAAAAACACAGCCACCACACCTAAAGTTTTGAAAGCTGCAATATAATATATTTTTGTTTTTAGGTTTAGATATGATTTAAGATGAAAAGGCCAGCACTTTCCCATGAAACTGGAAACCCTCGATCTTAGCATGGTTGTAAAAAAATATTTGATCACCAATGTATACAATCCCTATATCACTCTGCCCATATAACTAGTCTCCCTCTGTTTCAGGGTAATTTTAACCCAGTAACTCACCACTAATTCCATGAGTGCAATAAGTGCATGAGTACAATAACGTTTTAAATAACTAATTTTTTTTGCATAGTTATCCCATAAAATGTTTGACAAGAAGCCTTAGAACAGCTTGGATATTTTCACACTGAAAGTGGTTGTAAAGACTTGATTATTATCGTTTCCCATCCATAGACACACACAGTGTGGCTTGGCCCCACCCCTGTTCCCTCATATAATGGCATACTAGCACATTATATTGGGCATACCCAGGCTTAGCACCAAGACACAGCAAAAAGAGAGAAAAAAAACAAAAAAAGGGAAACAGAAAATAACAACTCTATACACAACAACAACAACCAAACAACAATAAGCAACTGCACCAAAAAATTCCCAGGACATATACCCAGCAGTGATGCATCTCATTCACTGGGAGAAGACATGAAGATATGGTGACAAGACTAGCAGGGGACCGTTATGGGGAGAAGGAGCAGCACTAATCAGCCCTGATCTGAGGTGGAGGGGGCAGAATAACCGGATTCAGTCCAGATGTGCCACAGTTTGGTAAATTTTGCAGGACACCCCCTAGATTCATAAGTGTATTTATAAAATGGGAGGACCATATTAACCAAATGTTTCCAAAAACCAGAGGTAGGGGCCTGGGGGGACTGGGATTCAAAAGAATAGCTTTACGAGCATAGAAGAGTAACAGGCCAATCAAGGTTTGCATGGCACGAGAGACGGCCAATGCCTGAACCAAACCCAATAGAAAAACCTCAATAGACAATGGTACTGAGATCATAGCTATGAAGGAGATACTATCAACCACATCTGTCCAAAAATATGAATAATAGGACAATTCCAGAAGACATGCAAAAAGGACACTGGGTCCTCGTGTCAATGCCAGCACCTGGAAGGATGTGCTGGAAATATTCTATGCAACCTCTGGGGGGTATAATAGATTCTATGAAGTAGTGTAAACTGAATCAGTTGGTCCTGGGTAGAGACCAATTGTGGCATAGGATATTCCCAAATGTCCTCCCAATCCTCTGCATCTAGCTCTGGTACCTCGGCGCGCCATGTGGAGAGAAGTCTATCCAGGCTTTCATGAACAGAAGGCCCCATATATAGAGAGGGAGGTTTAACTAGAGATTCATCCCATGGTAGGGATTCAACCCCAGAAACCGCTATCTGAAGTGGACGGCACTGAAACTGCTGGCGAAAGGTGTGGCGTAGTTGGATGTATCAGAAGAAATATGAGTTGGGAAGAGCACTGATTCGGCGAATTCGTGGACAATATTCGATTCGAGTCGAATATATTCGCTGTAAATTTAACTTAAAAAAGGGTGTTTCTAGGCTTCAGAGAGACTTAATATTAGTGCAGAACACTGTACCTTTAATTTAAATGCCCTTGGAGTCTGCTGGGGAAGAGAAATAATACTGTCAGTCAGTATGACATGCAGATGAGTGCCGTCGATCTTAGAATCACCGCACACTTCACTCATTTGGCCAGTCACGGGGCCAAAACCAGTGTTTGGAGCCACAGTGTGGCGGTGGAGGCAGCAGCAATGGGAGGCCATACAGCAACCTATGACAAAATGGAAACCAGCAGGAGTGTGAGGAGACCTCAAAGTGGCACATGGCAGAGTGGGAGCAATGGGAGGCGGTACAGGGACCCATGTCACACTGTGGACCCAGCAGCAGCAGCGTGACGAGGCGGTACGGGGGCCCATGGCAGATTTGGGGCCTGGCAGCACCTATGGGAGGCCTGTAATCTGCCAGCAACCTATGACAAAATGGAAAACAGCAGGAGTGTGAGGAGACCTCAAAGTGGCACATGGCAGAGTGGAGCAATGGGAGGCGGTACAGGGACCCATGTCACACTGTGGACCCAGCAGCAGCAGCGTGACCAGGCGGTACGGGGGCCCATGGCAGATTACAGGCCTGGCAGCAGCAATGGGAGGCCCGTAATCTGTCAGCACCCTATGACAAAAAATGGAACACACCAGCAGTGTGTGAGGAGACCTGAAAGTGGCACATGGCAGAGTGTGGCGATGGAGACAGCAGCAATGGGAGGCCGTACAGGGACCCATGAGAGACTCTGGACTTGGCAGCAGCATGAGGAGGCGGTATAGGGGCCCATGGCAGATTAGGGGCCTGGCAGCAGCTATAGGAGGCCCGTAATCTGCCAGCACCCTATGACAAAAAATTCAACACACCAGCAGTGTGTGAGGAGACCTGAAAGTGGCACATGGCAGAGTGTGGCGATGGAGACAGCAGCAATGGGAGGCCGTACAGGGACCCATGAGAGACTCTGGACTTGGCAGCAGCATGAGGAGGCGGTATATAGGGGCCCATGGCAGATTAGGGGCCTGGCAGCAGCTATGGGAGGCCCGTAATCTGCCAGCACCCTATGTCAAAAAATTCAACACACCAGCAGTGTGTGAGGAGACCTGAAAGTGGCACATGGCAGAGTGTGGCGATGGAGACAGCAGCAATGGGAGGCCGTACAGGGACCCATGAGAGACTCTGGACTTGGCAGCAGCATGAGGAGGCGGTATAGGGGGCCCATGGCAGATTAGGGGCCTGGCAGCAGCTATGGGAGGCCCGTAATCTGCCAGCACCCTATGACAAAAAATGGAACACACCAGCAGTGTGAGGAGACCTGAAAGTGGCACATGTTTGGGGCATGATTCATGGCGGATTTAGTCAGTTGTGTCAGGAACTGGTGGTTTGAAATCCAGACTAATCCACGCCTGATTCATTTTCACAAACGTGAGTCTCTCTCCACACTTTGGGTGGACAGTCGTGTCCTCCGCGGAGTTGCAATACCTCCTGCCGCACTAAACACGCGCTCCGATGCCACGCTACTGGCCGGGCATGACAGCCTTTCAAGGGCAAATTCAGCTAGTTGGGGCCAAAGGTCAAGTTTCGTTGCCCAGTAGTCAAGGGGATTGTCTACCTCGGTTGGCAGGGTGCTGTCCAAGTAGGCCTAAGCCTGTTGTTTGAGGTCCTGCTCCAGGTCCACCTGATGCTGCTGCTGCTGCTGCTGCTGCTGCGGCTGGTTATTAGTTTTCCTCACTGCGCTGGTGAAGAAAGCTACTCATCATCGACTGCAGACTGAGGCAGCTGCTGCTGGTGGAGCTGCCACTGCTCCTACCACCCCACCCCTCCCCTGCTGCCATGGCAGCGTAACGCGAGCGCACAGGGCCCACAGTGTCTGAGGATGGACGTTGGCGCAGACAGGCAGAGACCAGCTGACTACATAGGTGGTTTTTATAGTACGTTATTTTGGCCTCCCTCTCAGCAGGTGTGAAAAAGGGCCACCATTTTGGAACGGTAGCGAGGGTCCAACAAGGTGGACAGCCAAAAGTCATCCCTCTGTCTGATGGTTATTATTCGGCTGTCGGTACGCAAGCAAGCGAGCATGCTATGGGGCCATTTGTGCCAAGGAATGCGAGGGACTCCCTGCCTCCATCTCCACAGCATACTGCCACGGTGCGTCTGGGTCCTCTGTCTCCTCTTCCTCCTCCTCTACCAGATGCTCCTGCTCCTCCACTCCTGTCCGCTGAGTGGAAAAACCACCCATTTCACTCAATAATTTCCTGAGCACCAATGTCCTCCTCTACCTCCTCCTCTTCTTCCTGTCCTGCCCCCACAGGGGTCATGTGGCGTTGAGATCTGTGCGCCACGTCTACCGCACCCTGACCAGCCATTATTAACAGCATTTGTTCCAGGACGTGCAACAGAGGAATGACGTCGTTCATCCCATAGTCCTGCCGACTCACGAATAGCGTGGCCTCCTCAAAGGGCCTGAGCAAGCGCAGGTGTCACGCATGAGCTGCCAATGGCTGACATCTAAGTTACACAGGGAGTACCTTTATCCGCTTTTAACATCAGGAAATCTGTGATGGCCTTTTGCTGTTCGTAAAGGCGGTCTAACATATGTAGGGTTGAATTCCACCTTGTTGCAACGTCACAGCATGAGGAGTCGGTACGGGGGCCCATGGCAGATTACGGGCCTGGCAGCAGCAATGGGAGGCCCGTAATCTGCCAGCACCCTATGTCAAAAAATTCAACACACCAGCAGTGTGTGAGGAGACCTGAAAGTGGCACATGGCAGAGTGTGAGGCTGGATGGACAGGGACCCATGAGAGACTCTGGACCTGGCAGCAGCATGAGGAGGCGGATAGGGGCCCATGGCAGATTAGGGGCCTGGCAGCAGCTATGGGGAGGCCCGTAATCTGCCAGCACCCTATGTCAAAAAATTCAACACACCAGCAGTGTGTGAGGAGACCTGAAAGTGGCACATGGCAGAGTGTGGCGATGGAGACAGCAGCAGCATGGGAGGCCGTACAGGGACCCATGACAGACTCTGGACTTGGCAGCAGCATGAGGAGGCGGTATAGGGGCCCATGGCAGATTAGGGGCCTGGCAGCAGCTATGGGAGGCCCGTAATCTGCCAGCACCCTATGTCAAAAAATTCAACACACCACCAGCAGTGTGAGGAGACCTGAAAGTGGCACATGGCAGAGTGTGGCGATGGAGACAGCAGCAATGGGAGGCCGTACAGGGACCCATGACAGACTCTGGACCTTGGCAGCAGCATGAGGAGGCGGTATATAGGGGCCCATGGCAGATTAGGGGCCTGGCAGCAGCTATGGGAGGCCCGTAATCTGCCAGCACCCTATGTCAAAAAAAATTCAACACACCAGTGTGTGAGTGTGAAAGTGGCACATGAGTGTGGCGATGGAGACCTGAAAGTGGGACATGGCAGAGACCCATGAGAGACTGTGGACCTGGCAGCAGCATGAGGAGGCGGTATATAGGGGCCCATGGCAGATTAGGGGCCTGGCAGCAGCTATGGGAGGCCCGTAATCTGCCAGCACCCTATGTCAAAAAATTCAACACACCAGCAGTGTGTGAGGAGACCTGAAAGTGGCACATGGCAGAGTGTGGCGATGGAGACAGCAGCAATGGGAGGCCGTACAGGGACCCATGAGAGAGACTCTGGACCTGGCAGCAGCATGAGGAGGCGGTATATAGGGGCCCATGGCAGATTAGGGGCCTGGCCTGGCAGCAGCTATGGGAGGCCCGTAATCTGCCAGCACCCTATGTCAAAAAAAAATTCAACACACCAGCAGTGTGAGGAGACCTGAAAGTGGCACATGGCATGATGAGACAGCAGCAATGGACCGTACAGGGACCCATGCAGAGACTCTGGACCTGGCAGCAGCATGAGGAGGCGGTAGGGGGGGGGGGGGGGGGGGGGGGGGGGGGGGGGGGGGGGGGGGGGGGGGGGGGGGGGTGGGGGGGGGGGGGGGGGGGGGGGGGGGGGGGGGGGGGGGGGGGGGGGGGGGGGGGGGGTGGGGGGGGGGGGGGGGGGGGGGGGGGGGGGGGGGGGGGGGGGGGGGGGGGGGGGGGGGGGGTGGGGGGGGGGGGGGGGGGGGGGGGGGGGGGGGGGGGGGGGGGGGGGGGGGGGGGGGGGGGGGGGGGGGGGGGGGGGGGGGGGGGGGTGGACACACCAGCAGTGTGTGAGGAGACCTGAAAGTGGCACATGGCAGAGTGTGGCGATGGAGACAGCAGCAATGGGAGGCCGTACAGGGACCCATGAGAGACTCTGGACCTGGCAGCAGCATGAGGAGGCGGTATATAGGGGCCCATGGCAGATTAGGGGCCTGGCAGCAGCTATGGGAGGCCCGTAATCTGCCAGCACCCTATGTCAAAAAATTCAACACACCAGCAGTGTGTGAGGAGACCTGAAAGTGGCACATGGCAGAGTGTGGCGATGGAGGACAGCAGCAATGGGAGGCCGTACAGGGACCCATGAGAGACTCTGGACCTGGCAGCAGCATGAGGAGGCGGTATAGGGGCCCATGGCAGATTAGGGGCCTGGCAGCAGCTATGGGAGGCCCGTAATCTGCCAGCACCCTATGTCAAAAAATTCAAAAACACCAGCACACACCAGCAGTGTGTGAGGAGACCTGAAAGTGGCACATGGGCAGAGTGTGGCGATGGAGACAGCAGCAATGGGAGGCCGTACAGGGACCCATGAGAGACTCTGGACCTGGCAGCAGCATGAGGAGGCGGTATATAGGGCCCATGGCAGATTAGGGGCCTGGCAGCAGCTATGGGAGGAGGCCCGTAATCTGCCAGCACACCCTATGTCAAAAAATTCAACACACCAGCAGTGTGAGGAGACCTGAAAGTGGCACATGGCAGAGTGTGGCGATGGAGACAGCAGCAGCAATGGGAGGCCGTACAGGGACCCATGAGAGACTCTGGACCTGGCAGCAGCATGAGGAGGCGGTATAGGGGGCCCATGGCAGATTAGGGGGCCTGGCAGCAGCTATGGGAGGCCCGTAATCTGCCAGCACCCTATGTCAAAAAATTCAACACACCAGCAGTGTGTGAGGAGACCTGAAAGTGGCACATGGCAGAGTGTGGCGATGGAGACAGCAGCAATGGGAGGCCGTACAGGGACCCATGACAGACTCTGGACTTTGGCAGCAGCATGAGGAGGCGGTATAGGGGGGCATGGCAGATTAGGGGGGCCAGCAGCTATGGGAGGCCCGTAATCTGCCAGCACCCTATGTCAAAAAATTCAACACACCAGCAGTGTGAGGAGACCTGAAAGTGGCACATGGCAGAGTGTGGCGATGGAGACAGCAGCAATGGGAGGCCGTACAGGGACCCATGAGAGACTCTGGACTTGGCAGCAGCATGAGGAGGCGGTATAGGGGCCCATGGCAGATTAGGGGCCTGGCAGCAGCTATGGGAGGCCCGTAATCTGCCAGCACCCTATGTCAAAAAATTCAACACACCAGCAGTGTGTGAGGAGACCTGAAAGTGGCACATGGCAGAGTGTGGCGATGGAGACAGCAGCAATGGGAGAGGCCGTACAGGGACCCATGAGAGACTCTGGACCTGGCAGCAGCATGAGGAGGCGGTATATAGGGGCCCATGGCAGATTAGGGGCCTGGCAGCAGCTATGGGAGGCCCGTAATCTGCCAGCACCCTATGACAAAAAATGGAACACACCAGCAGTGTGAGGAGACCTGAAAGTGGCACATGTTTGGGGCATGATTCATGGCGGATTTAGTCAGTTGTGTCAGGAACTGGTGGTTTGAAATCCAGACTAATCCACGCCTGATTCATTTTCACAAACGTGAGTCTCTCCACACTTTGGGTGGACAGTCTGTCCTCCGCGGAGTTGCAATACCTCCTGCCGCACTAAACACGCGCTCCGATGCCACGCTACTGGCCGGGCATGACAGCCTTTCAAGGGCAAATTCAGCTAGTTGGGGCCAAAGGTCAAAGTTTCGTTGCCCAGTAGTCAAGGGGATTGTCTACCTCGGTTGGGCAGGGTGCTGTCCAAGTAGGCCTAAGCCTGTTGTTTGAGGTCCTGCTCCAGGACCACCTGATGCTGCTGCTGCTGCGGCTGGTTATTAGTTTCCTCCACTGCGCTGGTGAAGAAAGCTACTCATCATCGACTGCAGACTGAGGCAGCCGCTGCTGGTGGAGCTGCCACTGCTCCTACCACCCCCACCCCTCCCCTGCTGCCATGGCAGCGTAACGCGAGCGCACAGGGCCCACAGTGTCTGAGGATGGACGTTGGCGCAGACAGGCAGAGACCAGCTGACTACATAGGTGGTTTTTATAGTACGTTATTTTGGCCTCCCTCTCAGCAGGTGTGAAAAAAGGCCACCATTTTTGAACAGTAGCGAGGGTCCAACAAGGTGGACAGCCAAAAGTCATCCCTCTGTCTGATGGTTATTATTCGGCTGTCCTACGCAAGCAAGCGAGCATGCTATGGGCCATTTGTGCCAAGGAATGCGAGGGACTCCCTGCCTCCATCTTCACAGCATACTGCCACGGTGCGTCTGGGTCCTCTGTCTCCTCTTCCTCCTCCTCTACCAGATGCTCCTGCTCCTCCACTCCTGTCCCGCTGAGTGGAAAAACCACCCATTTCACTCACTCAATAATTCCTGAGCACAAATGTCCTCCTCTACCTCCTCCTCTTCTTCCTGTCCTGCCCCCCACAGGGGTCATGTGGCGTTGAGATCTGTGCGCCACGTCTACCGCACCCTGATGTCAGCCATTATTAACAGGCATTTGTTCCAGGACGTGCAACAGGGAATGACGTCGTTCATCCATAGTCCTGCCGACTCACGAATAGCGTGGCCTCCTCAAAGGGCCTGAGCAGAGCGGGTGTCACGCATGAGCACCAATGGCTGACATCTAAGTTACACAGGGAGTACCTTTATCTGCTTTTAACATCAGGAAATCTGTGATGCCTTTTGCGGTTCGTAAAGGCGGTCTAACATATGTAGGGTTGAATTCCACCTTGTTGCAACGTCACAGCATGAGGAGTCGGTAAAATTCGGGGGCCCATGGCAGATTACGGCCTGGCAGCAGCAGCTATGGGAGGCCCGTAATCTGCCAGCACCCTATGTCAAAAAAAACAAAACATTGTGTGAACACACAGCAGTGTGATGAGAGACCTGAAAGTGGCACATGGCATGAGAGACTGTGGACCTGGCAGCAGCATGAGGAGGCGGTATAGGGGCCCATGGCAGATTAGGGGCCTGGCAGCAGCTATGGGAGGCCCGTAATCTGCCAGCACCCTATGTCAAAAAATTCAACACACCAGCAGTGTGTGAGGAGACCTGAAAGTGGCACATGGCAGAGTGTGGCGATGGAGACAACCCACCGACTGTTTTGTGCTCGCTGCCAAGCTAACCCTCTTCTCCCTGATGATGCGGAAGCAATAGCCTGATGACGACGAGGCTGCCAAGTGCGATCAGCCTCATCATCATCAAATTAGGGTCTCCGCCTCACTACTAGCCCCCTCGGCTGCGTGTGGGTCAGGAGACAGACCTGTCTCTACAATTCTGTGTCTACCCGAGCCACTCTCCTCGCTCGCCACTACTTCTTCGCCCTGGCTGCTGAAGAGGCGGATGTCTCCCCCCTGTGTTCCTGACCGCCCTGTGTTAGCTCTTCCTCACTGTACTGGATGACACCGGGAAGCACTAGCCTCTGGCTGCGAATAGTGCTGCCTCGACCCCTTCCTCTGCTGCCACGTCTGCTCGCTCCTAAAAATTCTGCATTGCCTCCTCTGCCACTCCTCTGCATGTTGTCTGACATACTCTTTAATTAAACGATTCTGTGTCCCTGAGTAACAATTCTGTGTCCCTGAGTAACGTTTCTGTGGCCCTAAGTAACAGTTCTGTGGCCCTAAGTAACAGTTCTGTGGCCCCTGAGTAACAATTCTGTGTCTGTCCCTGAGTAACAATTCTGTGTCCCCTGAGTAACAATTCTGTGTCCCTCAGTAACAATTCTGTGTCCCTCAGTAACAATTCTGTGTCCCTGAGTAACAATTCTGTGGCCCTCAGTAACAATTCTGTGTCCCTCAGTAACAATTCTGTGTCCCTGAGTAACAATTATGTTTCTGTCCCTGAGTAACAATTCTGTGGCCTTAAGTAACGGTTTCTGTGGCCCTCAGTAACAATTCTGTGTCCCTGAGTAACAATTCTGTGTCCCTCAGTAACAATTCTGTGTCCCTCAGTAACAATTCTGTGTCCCTGAGTAACAATTCTGTGTCTGTCCCTGAGTAACAATTCTGTGGCCCTAAGTAACGGTTCTGTGACCCTCAGTAACAATTCTGTGTCCCTCAGTAACAATTCTGTGTCTGTCCTGAGTAACCTGAGTAACAATTCTGTGTCTGTCCCTGAGTAACAATTCTGTGTCCCTGAGTAACAATTCTGTGGCCCTAGTAACAATTCTGTGGCCCTCAGTAACAATTCTGTCTGTCCCTGAGTAACAATTCTGTGTCTGTCCCTGAGTAACAATTCTGTGTCCCTCAGTAACAATTCTGTGTCCCTGAGTAACAATTCTGTGTCCCTCAGTAACAATTCTGTGTCCCCTCAGTAACAATTCTCTGTGTCCCTGAGTAACAATTCTGTGTCTGTCCCTAAGTAACAATTCTGTGTGTCTGTCCCTGAGTAACGTTTCTGTGGCCCTAAGTAACGGTTCTGTGGCCCTCAGTAACAATTCTGTGTCCCTGAGTAACAATTCTGTGTCTGTCCCTGAGTAACAATTCTGTGGCCCTAAGTAACGGTTCTGTGGCCCTCAGTAACAATTCTGTGTCCCCCTGAGTAACAATTCTGTGGCCCTAAGTAACGGTTCTGTGGCCCTCAGTAACAATTCTGTGTCCCTGAGTAACAATTCTGTGTCTGTCCCTGAGTAACAATTCTGTGGCCCTAAGTAATTTCTGTGGCCCTCAGTAACAATTCTGTGTCCCTGAGTAACAATTCTGTGGCCCTAAGTAACAATTTCTGTGGCCACTCCCTCAGTAACAATTCTGTCTGTCCCTGAGTAACAATTCTGTGTGTTGTCCCTGAGTAACAATTCTGTGTCCCTCAGTAACAATTCTGTGTCCCTCAGTAACAATTCTGTGTCCCCTGAGTAACAATTCTGTGTCCCTCAGTAACAATTCTGTGTCCCTCAGTAACAATTCTGTGTCCCTGAGTAACAATTCTGTGTCTGTCCCTGAGTAAGAATTCTGTGTCTGTCCCTGAGTAACGTTTCTGTGGCCCCTAAGTAACGGTTTCTGTAGCCCTCAGTAACAATTCTGTGTCCCTGAGTAACAATTCTGTGTCTGTCCCTGAGTAACAATTCTGTGGCCCTAAGTAACGGTTCTGTGGCCCTCAGTAACAATTCTGTGTCCCTGAGTAACAATTCTGTGGCCCTAAGTAACGGTTCTGTGGCCCTCAGTAACAATTCTGTCCCTGAGTAACAATTCTGTGTCTGTCCCTGAGTAACAATTCTGTGGCCCTAAGTAACGGTTCTTTGGCCCTCAGTAACAATTCTGTGTCCCTGAGTAACGTTTCTGTGGCCCTAAGTAACGGTTCTGTGGCCCTCAGTAACAATTCTGTGTCCCTGAGTAACAATTCTGTGTCTGTCCCTGAGTAACAATTCTGTGGCCCTAAGTAACGGTTCTGTGGCCCTCAGTAACAATTCTGTGTCCCTGAGTAACAATTCTGTGGCCCTAAGTAACGGTTCTGTGGCCCTCAGTAACAATTCTGTGGCCCTCAGTAACAATTCTGTGTCTGTCCGAGTAACAATTCTGTGGCCCTAACTAACGTTTCTGTGGCCCTAAGTAACAGTTCTGTGGCCCTCAGTAACAATTCTGTGTCCCTGAGTAACGTTTCTGTGGCCCTAAGTAACAATTCTGTGGCCCTCAGTAACAATTCTGTGTCTGTCCCTGAGTAACAATTCTGTGGCCCTAACTAACGTTTCTGTGGCCCTAAGTAAGAGTTCTGTGGCCCTCAGTAACAATTCTGTGTCTGTCCCTGAGTAACAATTCTGTGGCCCTAACTAACGTTTCTGTGGCCCTAAGTAACAATTCTCTGGCACTCAGTAACAATTCTGTCTGTCCCTGAGTAACAATTCTGTGGCCCTAACTAACGTTTCTGTGGCCCTAAGTAACAGTTCTGTGGCCCTCAGTAACAATTCTGTGTCTGTCCCTGAGTAACAATTCTGTGGCCCTAACTAACGTTTCTGTGGCCCTAAGTAACAGTTCTGTGGCCCTCAGTAACAATTCTGTGTCTGTCCCTGAGTAACAATTCTGTGGCCCTAACTAACGTTTCTGTGGCCCTAAGTAACAATTCTCTGGCACTCAGTAACAATTCTGTCTGTCCCTGAGTAACAATTCTGTGGCCCTAATAACGTTTCTGTGGCCCTAAGTAACAGTTCTGTGGCCCTCAGTAACAATTCTGTGTCTGTCCCTGAGTAACAATTCTGTGGCCCTAACTAACGTTTCTGTGGCCCTAAGTAACAATTCTCTGGCACTTAGTAACAATTCTGTCTGTCCCTGAGTAACAATTCTGTGGCCCTAACTAGCGTTTCTTTGGCCCTAAGCAACGATTCTGTGGCCCTCATTAACAATTCTGTGTCCCTGAGTAATGCTTCTCTGTCCCTAAGTAACGTTTCTCTGTCCCCAAGTAACGTTTCTGTGGCCCTAACTCTGTCCCTAATACAGAGCGGTCTGCCTCTCTTGAATGACTGGAGGCAAATGAAGAATTCTAAAATGGCCGCTATTTATAGCTCGACCATTACACAGTGCTGGCTGGCTGGCTGCTGATTGGCTAATGCGATCACATGTCATTAAGGAATGCATTATGGGTCAGCGCGCCTTGTCTGCGCGCCTTCCCAGACATCCCCGCTCCGTCGCCGCACATGTCCGCCGCCATTTTAGGAAAAATTTTGATTCACGCGTCCGAAGTAGGCTATTTTTCGAAAATTTTCCAATATTCGACTCGAATTCCACTTCGCCTACTTCGATTCGCTCATCTCTAGTTCTAAGCACACCTTCCACATATATCTATTGTAAATACTTATGTCCCTAGAGGCCCAAACTGAGGGGTTCGGGAAGAGAAAAAATTCAGACAAGGAGGGGTTCAACCACAACGGGGTATGGAGAGACCAAACCTGGGGCTCAGGAGTGAATTGCAAATGCCAGGCCTTAAGGAGTGCCCTCATGGACATTGAAATAGGGAATAGGGCCAAATAGCCCCTATACAAAAGATTTTGTAAGCCCAGGAAAGCCGCTTCCAAAACCACAGCAGCGTTAGTCTCATCTGCCACTATCTAGTTATGAGCATGGTAGAGCAACACTGCAATATAATATGTGTACAAATCCGGACAAGCCAGCCCCTTCCCCCCCAGTCCATGGCCTCTGCATCACCTTTAATTTAAATCTCGGCTGCTTCGAGCCACACAAAAAAGAAACAATTGCTGCATCAAATTGTTTAAAATCTTTCCACGGGATAAGGGCAGACTGATAACTCATGGGGCCCCCGGGCAATAGGGGATCATGGGGCCCCTGTGTCCTTGCCCAAACTCAAAAAAGCCTATGAAAAAGGTACCAGGGGCATCTCACGGGGCCCCCTACTGACCCCAGGCCCTCGGGCTGTGCCTGAGTTTCCAAATGGTCAGTCCGCCCCTGCACGGGATCAAAACCAGAGTATGGCAGACTACGTAAAGTAAGGAGGGAAGAAGCTTAATTTTGATTAAATTAATTTTACCCATTAGGAAAGCGGGAGATTGGTCCAAGCAGCATGTGAAACTTACTTTCAAATGAAGCTCTCCAGCTGCGTGTTGTCTCTGCAGACAGGGCTTCCATCTTCACCCAGTCTTCCTTCCTGGTTCATGGGCTCCGGTTCTATGAATGGGCGAACCACAATGATGTCACTCCCGCATATGCACACTGGGGTCACTGTTTCCGGCACAGAGCTCAGAAGGAATGGCACAGCGCATCCACCGATGATGTCACCGGCTGTTACACTGTAAATAGATCCTAATCGGTGCACATTTAGGAGCTGTTTACAGTACCTACAGGTAAGCCTTATTGTAGTCTTACCTGTAGGCAAAACATAAAAAAGACTTTACTACTACTTTAAACTCACCTCACCCTTCTTAAAGTGTAGGTATGGTCAAAGTGTAAAGTCATATACTAACCACGTGCCCTCCAGAGGATTTATCCCCCTTCCTGACCAGGCCATTTTTTTGCGACACAGCGCTGCGTTACTTTAACTGACAA